ACAAGAAAAGATGAGACAGTAGGGAGAGGCAGCGGGGGCAGTGGGTGGATGCAAAGTGGACGAGCAGGGGAGGGGATACTAGGAGGAAGAGCGCGAAAGGAAGTTCACGATAAGGCGGCGAGAAGAGGCCGAAGATGAGCGGATAAAGAGAGGAAGTACAGGATCAAAAGAGGAGGTAAAGAGGGAAAGGCACAAGAAGAGGAAGAGGCTGCTATCCTGAAGACAGAGGAAACAGGAGGACAAAGGAAAGGAAAGGAAGGGAAAGGAATCTTGGCTATAAATTAAAAGAAAATTGGCACAAAAAGAAAACTGACACTGTAGACGGAGCGAACAAGCCCAACAAAAGAGCAAATGCATCAGAGTTGCATCACGGTTGAGCGGAGACAGACTTCTGGTTTCCAGGCCACACTATTAGTTCTTGTTCCATCAGTGGGGGGCGGAGGGGGAGCTGCTGAAAGTAGGGCGACTACACTACAAATTGGATTGTGTTGAGCTCTATTGCCAGGTACAGAGTCAGTGGAGGGTTTAAAAAGGTGTGTGAAGTTTAGAGCAAAGGCACAGTTTGCGACTGAAGGTGTATTTCTGCTGAAGGTAATGCTCAGATGAAGAAGTTATAAAGGACAAGAGCTGTAGGACTGCCATTAAGTTGGGGGTGGGTTGGCAGCGCTGGAAGCCTCGCGAGGCAGAGCATTCTCCTCCACTGAGAAGTGAATGGAAAAATGTGTCAATGGAACACAAGGAGGGATCCTGTGAATAAACAGAGTCGGTGACTCACCGTTTCTGGGATGGGAGAGATGACCGTGGGTGGGGGGTGTGGGTACCGAACTACCTTCGTTGCCCCTCTAAACACGCCAATATAGGCATTCATGCGTGCACGCACAGTCCAACTCATGTGTCGCACTCAGTTGGCCGAGCCGGGACAAGCTGTCTATTGTCCAACTCTCTCACCTAAAGCTGGAGCTCCAAGCAGGGCAGGAGTTTTGTATTTAGGGGATTTTTGGGGATTGTTGAGTGTGTGAGTGAGAGAGAGAGAGAGAGAGAGAGAGAGAGACTGGTCGAACAAGGTTTGAAAAAGATCAGGCTCTGTGCGTGTTTTTGTTTGTGCGGATGAAGGTATCTTTTCAGATCTTTTTTTCCTCTTACGTCATTCTCAAAAACGTAAACTGTCCATGACCATCAAAAAGTGAGGCTGAAACACCAACCATTACTTTATAATATCCCTTATGCTTGAGTCTGAACAGAACTTACTTGGTTTATACTTGGGAGAATTCAAGTATTGCATTTGATCGTCTCCATTTTTAAAAGTAGCGGCAGCGACTGATAAACAAAGCTGGAGCACTAGTTAATTAAAAAATGAGACTGTAAATCTTGTGGAATAGGAGGTTACTACAGCACCCAGAGGGGAGAAAACAGAGAAAACAGGGAAACTCCACACCGACAGCCTCAATGTAAGCTGTGGTGCGGTTATCTTACAGTATACCAGACCCATTGCTACTACAGCAGGGAGATGCAAATAAGGCAAACAATACCTTCAGACTATCAGGCTTAATGTCTAAATACACCGTGGTTTATTAGTTATTAGATCGATGTATGTCCATTTAAAAAGATGTTTAATTCCCTAAATTTAAGCTTCCTTTGGCCTATTTTTTTTAAATTTGAGAACTCATCTTATTCCACACTGTATGAAAGAACAACATCCATTCTTTGTCTTCTTACTCCGGCTCTTCATCAAAGCTTTAAAATATTCAAAACTACAACCCATATCTTTATGGCTGTACCTGTTCATCAGATGAAAATTTTCTAGATATTTAGTGCACAGTTTTACACTCATTTCAACAGAATTTATCCCATTTTTTGGATCTTTTGGATCTTATCTAGAACGTAAAATGAAGTTGTACGGGTTTGAGCAGCACTCTGAACTGACTTTTCTGTCGCTGGGTCGGAAGATGTTGAAAACAGTGAGGTAGAGGCGGTGACTTTTTTTTTTGCTGACAAAGGACCTTTTTCTCTAAATTTAAAGCTGTGGAGCACAAACCACAAACTGGTGCCCAAATGTATATTTAGGATTCTGCTGTGAAATCAACATTCCTTTGCTTTTTTAAAAATGCAGAAAAGGTTTCATGTAGATGGGTGTCAACACATTTGAAGCTCTGTAGGACTGTGGGCCTGATTCTCAACTGTAATTCTGCAGATGTTGTTTATTGATTTATTGATTACACGAGCCAGAAAGATTAACAGCTAATTTGCGATCTCCATCCTTGGTTTGGTCTTTAAATAATAATCATTGGACCAGTCATCATTATGGAAATGTCATCGTAGCCAATTATGTTGTCAACGTCCATCACCTCTACTACTTTCTGATTTGCATTCTTTAATTTCTTGGGATTTATCATAAAAGTTCATGGACAAACACTTTCTTGATGGAGCGTCTGACTTCGGTGATGCTCACAAACATGCACCAACTAATTCACTCGGAAAAACCAAAGAACTATAAATCCACGCTAATTACAACATGTGCAATTTCTGTCCTTTACAAGAAAAGCCTCAGCATTTGTTAAATTCCAATAATCCATCATTTTAAATAGGCGGAGAGCTTTGCAAAGGGATGCCAAAGCAGAGCAATAAATCAGATTTCACAAACACCGGGTGCTGTCCATCGGCAGGCTTCCGTAAAGTGGCCAATCACAAGAAAGTTGGCTTTTAGAGATGAATTGAAGAACTGCATACAGTGCCAAAATGAGATAAATAAAGTTTTTTTTGGAACTGTGAATCTTGCAGAGTTACTTTAGAGAATAAAATACAGAGCTGGAGATGAGCATAACAGCTGAAAGCATTGCAGCAGCTGCATCCTTACTGAATTCTTTTTTTATTAGACTTCCATTTGCATTCTGGTCTTTAGTGATTTTTATGTACTACAGAGTGTAAATCTATGCAGTTTATTTGTACAGCAATGAAGCAACTAAAGGATTTCTGTAACAAGCCACCGAGGTAATGGACTATTTTATAATTATTCGTCTCAATCTTTTCCTGGACACTCTTTGGTGCTTTTTTATGGCCGATCAGGAGAATTAGATTTTCTTACAGGTTTGGAAAAACACGAAAGGAGAGGAAAAACAAACTCCAAACAACAACTCTCTCACATTACACAGGATACATATTGTTTTGCTTCATATGAGAAAACACAAAAGAAAGAGGAAGATGAAGCCACACGTGAACCGGACCGGCAGAGACGTACGGTTGTTGTTTACAATTTGATTAAAGGTAACGTGTTCCAGTCGTATGGAAACACAGCTGGAATGATGCCACAGTACAGCAAGTGATCCCAGCCTCAGCACCGCACCGTGTGTCAAGCTTGCTGTACAGATCACGCATCAGATGCACAGTACTGCTGAATTATCTATCTCACTCAATTGGCATGACGGAGACCCACTCATATGACGGGAGAGAACAAAGACTGTTGTGCACAAAAACAGATTAGCAGAGTGGAGACAGCTAGCTCTGCTTCCTGGAAAATTTCTGATTGTGGGGAGTTTTACAAAGCTGCTCTGAGCAGGCGGTGGAAATCTGCTAATCTAATCACCTGCCAGGCTAATTGGCAGATAAAAGCATATGGCCATCTCAAACTGCCGCCCTGACGTAGGGATACTGTTGCCTCCCAGCTTGTGTTTTGCACTGTATACGCTCTTAAATGGTCATTGTAAAATGTTGCTCACCCCGCATGGTTTATTGAAGCAGGGCTGTCAGTTCTCAGATAAATACCATATTTCCCATAACACTCTCTGCTTCCTGTTGCAAAGAGGATGTCGCTACCTCTCCCCCCCTACCCAGCCCTCCCGCTTACTGCACATGTGTGCCTTAAAGTTGTCTGTTTCAGTTTAATAAAGAAGAAATAGACTTTTGGAGGAAGAGGGAAAAGTGTAGGTGTTGTTTTCTTTTCTGGAAAAGCTGTGCCTTTCTCATTTTACACTTAAAATACAGTGAGATTCGTCAAATTCTCTCTTTTATTTGCATTTACGTTTATGTTTCAGTGTAATTTATCAAGTTGAAATGATGCATTCGAGGTTGAAAAGGCCTTGATGCTCAGGGCGAGATAAAACCATAACTTTAATGTGATTATTAATTGTTTTTTTAAAAAGAAGAAGAAGAAATCACTGAAGCGCTCAGCAAGGAGACTAAAATTGGCCTGGTGTGTTCTTATGGCGTGAAATGCAAAACTTCTGATGTTGTAGAGAAGTGAAAGGGACTTTTGCCCATTTTTTAACCTTTCTAATGTTTGCTCAAAGTTAGAAAAGTCACAGGAGATGGAGAACTTTGTCTTCTGATAGAAGCATATTAGGATATAATATAATCTGCATGTGCTATTCACTGATAATCTGATTAACTGATGGAAAATAAATAAAACCTGAACGTTGACTTTCTTTTGATTAAATATATATTGAGTTTTTCTCCACACTAATAGGATAAATGAAATATAGTAAAAATTCATGTGAAGTGCTGCCTTTACTGACATATCTTTGCTATGTTGCTGTGAAGTAATGCTTATCTACAACACATGTGTTGCAGCATCAGTGAACAACCGGATGAAACTACCTCTATCTTAAACACTAAACCTGTCAGACATCCCTCTGCTGATCTGCTGCACTACATGTGGCATAACAAAGCCTAATTGAACAAAGTGTTCTCTTCCAACTGTGTGAGAGAAAAAAAGAAAAGAAAACCTAATTGCTGTAGTTAAGAGCGGAGGAAAATTGTGACTCACTTTCTCACAGTTATCTGTTCAAACACTTGTTGAATGTTGAAACGCTTTCATTTCCTATGACAATAATGGAGCGCAAACACAAGTTTTTCACCGGGAAAGCAGAACCCCTGACCCGTGGGTGCAAAGTGTACAATCCAGACTTGCACCTGAACAGGTAGAGACAACATGTAACCCATTTTCACCTTGCCCAGTCTTCACATACACACTCTTTCACTACCAACCAAACAGACACGTTTCTTACCTTGGTGTCAACAATGGAGCAGGCAATTTGCTTTACATAGGCCAGGTCAGCTGTCTGGGGCATCAGGACCGACTCCCTGGTCAGACCGATCTGGATGATGAAGGACACCCCCGCTGGAGTGGGTGGCATTGAAGGCATCACGGCCCCGCCAGCACCCTGCACCGAGGTCAGGTCCATCACAGGAAAGCCACCCTGAGCGTGCATGGAGGGCATGGATATGGGTGTCCCCTGCTGCATTACAGCCGAGCCTGGCGGCGAGGGGCCACCAGGGGGGAAGAAGACCTGGGCCATGGGCCCTGAGGGCATGCAAGGGCTAGCGTTAGCCATTCAGAGTCCGCTTGTCTGCTCTCAACATACACAGTGACAAACACACGCCCAGGTGCAGCGTACAAGTGTCAGAGAAGCCACCACTCATTCACACTATCAGAGGACTGAGGGCTTCCCACACTGACACATGGACACACTGAGCACACACTCCTCTGACTCCTGCGTCCACCCCCTTCCAGTGGATCAAGGAAGAAATCCTTATCCAGGAAGCAAGTGTTTCTCTCTTCCTTTCTGCCTCTTCTCTCTCGTCGTCAGGCTCCTTTCACAGTCCGGACAAGACATGCATGAACAATGTGTGTGAGAGCAGACAGACACAGTGAGGGAGAAAACTACCCTCCCACTGCTTTCCCACCTCCACCTTCTTTTCCCTCCTTGCCGTCCAAAGACGCCGCTCTGCAGAGGAGAAAGTCCAAACTTGGTTGTGAAACTCCCCCGGGGCTGTGGGAGAGCAAGAAAAACAAAAACAATGCCAAACTTTGTTGTTGTTCCTCTCCAAGGCTGAGCTTACAAAATGGCCTCCTTGAACAGGAAACTGTGAGAATGAAGGAGGCAAGAGGCTGCACTCCTTTTACGAGTCGTGCCCTGTTTCAGTTTCAACCCCAGTTCAAGTGTTTTTTGTGAAAAAGCGCACAGAGAGAAAGAAAGAAAGAGAGAGAGAGAGAGCTGTGTGAGGGTACCTCCCTCTCCCCTCCCTCCTGCCTTCTCATCTGTAATCTTGCCATAGTCAAGGAGGAAGTGAAATGACTGACACATCCCAGAGCCAGTAGCCTCTCGGAAAGTCCCGCCCATTTGACTCCCTGCTCCCAGGCTTCTCCCTCCTCCCTTTCCTCTTTCTGCCTCCCTTCCTTGGTTTAGGGTTGTTTGTCTTGTCCCTCCCTTCAGCCGAGGTCGGCGCAGATCTTCTTACACTGCCTGAGGGGGCCGCGCTCAACAAACCCTCCCATCTCTTCCTCATCCTCCCTCTCTGTCCCTCTAAAAACTGCACTTCTTGCCTCATTTTTCCACTGCAACACCCAGTCTTTTTTTTTTTTTTGCATTTTTTTAGTGGACACACCTCACTCAGAATGCAGAACAGGACCACACCTATTGCAGAGTTGTTTCCATGCAAAGTTTCAATAAACTTGAAAGGATTTTTGTGGCTTTGAAAGGGTGGATAAGGGTGATCAGTTCCATACGGCAGCATCTATAATGTGCTTACATATGAGGCTTGGTCACCACAGTCATCAGCATGACTGTGACTCCTCACTGGTTAGCTAATCCTGCATGCTAATGCATTAAAAAAAAAATAAAAGGTTTTCTACTTGAGGTCTCAATCTTCTCATTATCTCTCGCTTATCTTCTTCTCATTGCCACTGTGCAGCCGTCGCACGGTTTACAATTCATTCAAGCAAATGAACTACAGGCAACAGCACTCTGCTGAACGGTGATGTGACAGGAGACCTCAATAACTCACCAACCGCAAGTAATGATCACTAGGAATCTACTTTTCACCACAAGAGGGCAATATTTGATACAGCTGGACACTGAATCATTAAATTCCCAAGTAGAGACAAAGCAGAGAGGCTGCTTTGTTGTCGTTTGACTCTGAGATTTGATTTTGGATTATAAATGGTCTTGTAAATGTTTGTGCAGTGTGATGACATAAAGGGTCTGTTTCATCAAGGTTTTCCCCAACTGTAGTCATTTTTGATTTTTTTTTGATTTTTATTTTTTTAAATAAACTAATCTGCATTTATTCACCTAATTTTAATTAATTTTCTATTATATTGTGTACTTTATCTCACAGTGCTTTTATTTATTGTTGTCTTTTTCCTTCATCAGCTCAGTTTATTATTCCATGAGTCGTTGTGCATTTTATTCAACTTTTCTGTACTGTTTTTGATTAATTTAGTGTTGTATTTGCATTTTTATTGTTTTACTTCATTTTTTTATTTGCCTGCAAAGCACCATGAATAAACTCTGTGTAGGATAAAGTGCTATAGAAATGAATCACCTAACCTAAATATTAGATGATATAATGCATGCCAAGTGTGCATCAAAAGACATTTCTTTGTGCCAACTTAAAAGGAAAAGCAATATTTATTTATTTTTTATTTTTTTCTTAGATTAGAAAATGGCTGACATATCCAGGAGCAGAACTTATACTGGATTTTATTAAATGTTACTTGCCAGTTTCAAATGTTTGATGTGACTTCAGGTGGTGGCATTTAAAGGGGACACTTCATGATTTTTACAAAACATGGTATACGCTCTTTGGAAAAAAATTCCTTTGCCAAATCAAAAGTTCTCCTTCACTCAGAAATGTATTTTGCTCATTATTACTTGATTTGCATGTTTGACTATCAGTGTGCAAAATTATTTCTGTGCAAGGTTTGACACTAAAAGGCTGTTTTGACATTTATCAGGAGGAAAGTTTCCCAGATGTGGACATTTACCAGCCACATGGGGTCTAATAAACAACAATATGGAGCTGTTTTATGGTGAAATGTACAATTTAGCATCGTTGTAGTCCTTTAAAAACTTCTTAAAAGTACAAAACTGCATTACTATTAAATTCCTTTTTTTTAGTCGTACTTCATGCTTCACACCTCTTCAGTGTATCTTCCTTCATGTAACCATTCATACCTGCATGTGTCTGTGTTTGTAGAAGGCAAAAAAGAAAGACAACAAAAACCACAACTCTCGATTCACTGTACAAAATTTTCATTTTTTGTCTTTTCTTCCTTAATGACATACAACAGGGGACCCGTAAACAAAAAGAGAAAGTCATTTGATACAAGCTAGAATGCAGTTCAAAAATATATAATAAAACAAAATTAATAAAAAGCAGGTCTCTTATCCCTTGTAGTTAGAGGAAATCGTTTGAATACAGCTTAATATGATGTACAAAATATCACACAGTGATAAATTGCTAATAAAAAAATAAAAACACAAAGAAATGAGAGTCCTTTACCTTGGCCTCTGACTGGTAACAGATTTTTTTTTTTTTTGTACTTGTTTTCTTAATTTTTCATGTTTTTTAATCGTTTTGATTTTTTACAAGTTTTACATTGCCATTATCAATCACAAGCAAGTTCTATGCCTAGCAAGGAAGAATGATTCACTTATGATACTACAGTATTCTTACATCTTAATAATCATATTCATAATCAAAAAAAAAGAAATGCAAGAAAGAAAACAAGGAAATGATGGACATTTACAGCACATAATGGCAACTCTAGTCATCATTTACAACCTCTATTTCGATTTCTTTTTCTTTTTTGATGTGTCATACTGATTTGTCTTTATTCTCAGAGGGAACATAGTGGCTCAGGGCGAAAAGAAAGCATCAGTCGGCCATCAGTAACTCTCATCATCAAATAACTGTGAGCCACAGCAGGTTCCACCCTGGTAGTATTCAGACTGTATAAGAAATACTTCTATTTCTGCAACCTGTCCGTCCACTAATAACCTAAAGCATGGAGCCAAATAGTAGTTAACCGTGATAACAGGACGTTATGCCCAGCAGCAGTACAATAATGTTGTTGCACCTGGTTGTTTTCTTTGACCGATTCAGAGTCAAAGCAACAGCAGAGTGACACCTTAATGTCATACAACAGTCCACCACCCTGTCTAGAAAAGAATGCAACGCTGAATTATGAACGCTAGTGTCTCCAGTGATTTGAAAAGGAGTGTTTACCTCTTGGCTGCTTGAAACTGACCCCTAGTGTGACCCTGTAGAGGTGGAGGATGCCCCCATAAACAACTGATTTAACAGCAGATTGAAGCAGTCTTCTCAAAGTAATAAGATTAAATTAACCGCTAAATGGGGCAACTTCTACCGTAAGCAAACAAGCATTCGTTCCGTGGTTATCGGTATAAATGCAGAACACAAACAGAGATAGACGTGAGGTGCCTCAAAAGAAGAATCTTTCCACTTAAGCCAAATGTTCTCTGGGTTACATCCAAAATAGCAGAACCACAACGCGACCAAGACAGGTTAGGTGCTAAAGTGTCAGCATTATTAGCTGACATCTGCACATCTTCAATCAATACTTTTTTTTTATTTTCTGAAATAATAAAAGTGGCTGAATTTAAAATGGACTTCTCCCCCTCCCCTTCCCCTCACAGCATTCCTCTTCCAGCTTCACACGTAAGCTCTCAGGGCTAATGTGCGACTCCTGCAACGGATACAGAGGAAACGTCACCTCAACACACAAGTGAAGGTGAAGTCAAGCTTTAGTGAAAGCCTGAATAAATAACGACAAAAGCTAGAACTGAGCGCCGCCTACAAACTGGCATCGACTTCAAAAAGAGACAATCTCTCATCAGAGGGGGGGAAAAAAAAGCGTTTTCAGTCCAGGTGGTCCTCACTGTAACACCGCAATCAGCTCTGTACCTCAAACCAGAAACAATCGAGGCCGCATCCCTCTTGTGAGAAACATTAACAGTGACGGTTAATTCTGAAATGTGACCACACGTGATGAAATGATTCGACGATTAAATGTCATTTTAAAAAGGTGATTCACTTGATGTACATCTATAGCCCAATGAGTGAGAAACACAGTCTCTCCGTCTCACAAGAACACACAAAAACAGGTCCCTGATTCTGACTCAAGACTGACAAGGTCTTTCATAGCACCGTGATTTAACTAGTGCATATACAAACACACACACACACACTTTTCTGTACAGTAAAAGCACCAAATGACACAATCTATGCCATTTGTTGAGAAAAAAAAATACCGAGCAGTCTCACGTCCTCTGTACTCTATGGACGTTAACTTTGCACTCATTAATGTGGCGCCAGAGCATCGGCCCGTAGAGTCGAACCGCACATCTGTAGAAATGGATTGTGGGAGTATGTTCATTTATCTTGTACAGCAAAGTGACATTAAATCTCACACACACACACACAAATATAGGCAGAATCATGGGAACGCTACAATACTCAGACTTACAACGAGACTTGTGTCAAAGTTGAAATTAAAGCTATTTGTTCAACACTGGTTAGCCGCTGTCTAGTGCTTCCTCACGTCACACGCACTAAGTTAAACATTCTCCAACCCCAAATACGACACCACACACACCCTACCTGGAGTCTTTGGAATGTAATACATTGAGTCCCAATGTAAAGGTCGGGTCAGGTGTTTTCGGTCAACATTGGGAGCAGTTACTCTTTAAGTCATGACTACGTACTTATGTTAGCCACAAGCATTTTTTCAACTGTTGGAAAAAAAAATTAAAAAATCTAAAATGAAATGTGGCGGTGCACTTGTGCAGTGTGTGCAGTGTGAGTGTTGGTTTTTTTTCCGTGAAGTGCGAGTAGTGTATCAGCGATCGAAGCGCCCAAAAAAATGCACACGCAAGGTAATTGGTGCTAACCGTTGGCAGACTGAAAAACAAGCAAACAGAGTATTGTAGTGTAGAAAAGTGTTACTCCAAACATGATTACTTGAAAACAGAGTAGCCAGGATTTTAAAGTTATAAAAAAGCATTACAAGATGTGATTAGTATTACAAGAAGTCACTGAGGCATCAGAGAACAGCAAGGAATTCAAGGGGAGGGAGGTGACGTCCTGTGGCGGTGACCCAGCCAGTGGGGTGCAGGACAAGTGTGTGTTTGAGTGTGTGTGTGTGTGTGTGTGGGTGTATGAGTGTGTGTGTGTGTGTGTGTGTGTGTGTGTGTGTAAGCAGGTCAAATTTGTCCACTGTAGTCTTCAGTCTCTTTTGGCCCAGTTGTGATAGTAGGACTCTAAAGGCAGAAAAGGAAGAAACTTAGTTAGAAAAACTGTTTACAACTGCTCACAATGTTAATATAAGACAAAAATATGAGGTCTCACGTAAAATCGATTCACACAATGTAAGAAAAAGTTTATATAATGAGGAAATAAACTTTAGGAATTTTGAATTTACAGTGGATTCTTAAAAAAATACTGACAAAAAAATAAAATTCTGTTAACGCTCTGAATCCCGTGCAGGTTTAAAAGGCAGGTTATCTTTAGGGCATATAAGATTTAAATTGCACAATTTATCATAACCAGAAACTGTAAAAACAATAAGAATTATTCTATTTCCAACAGTCCTTGAACTTATCTGAGACTTTAGGTTTCGTCTGGACATTAAACCAAATCAAAGCATAAATTTGTGGTATTTTATCACGTCTCTCACTTAAAGGTTTGTCAAAAATCTGTTTGCGCTAACTAGATTCTGTAAAAAAAAAAATTTTTAAATCTGCACTCCTCAGCAAAACTGAGAAGCTGTTACTTACTCAGCTGTGACCAACAATCATATGACCAAAAAAAAGCTGGAAATATGTTGTACATGTTTGTTCCAGGTTTTCTACTTGTAAAAAAAAAAAAATCAAAGAAATGAAAATTTTGTCCTTGTCTTTTTGTATGATTTATGGCTTTGACATTCATGGAAGCTATGTCATACTGCACTGAAGATTATTTTAAATTCTCTCTGTGCTGTTTCCATAGAGGTGCAGGACTTTATACTGCAGAGAAAAATGATCCACGGTGAGCAAAAGATGTGACATGAGCAAAACACACCCATAAACTATTTGTACAATCATACTGATTGGTTTTACAAATCTCAAAGGCTGAACAATACAAATAAACTGATCAAATAAACTAAGTCTTAAGTATGAAATTTTTTTTTTAAATGATAAAGCCATAACACATATTACAAAACAGTATGTCAAGATTTCTGTGACTTGTCTGTTTTTGCTGTATCAAAGTTCACGCTGGTTTGAATCTCATTGTATGTGCGTTGTCAGAATCTGTGAGCTCCAACAACTCCCACCCTCTGCGCCCCACCCTTGCTCTTTCTGTCTCACCAGAATGACGACAGTGCTGTCAGACAAAGATCTTGGCAAGTGCATCTGCGCCAGCGCTGGCAATGAAGGGCTGGGAAGAGTGGAAGGCCACGTCATGAATGGCCTCGTCATGCTTCTTCCTGTGGGCAGTGATCTCCTGCACGCACGTCCTGTTGTCCAGCATCCATAGGCGCACTGAGCAGTCGTGGCCTGTAGAAGGTAAGGAACAAAGACAACAATGTTACGAGGGGGTAAAGATTTAAGATTTAAAGCACGGCTCCTACTGCAGTGTAGTACATTTTAGTCAAGACTGCAGATTGTTGACTTGTTGTTTCATTTATATGGTATAAATGGCCTTGTACTTTGTCAGAAAAAACACTGCCGATACATATTGTTGTTTCATTTCTTTCTAAATTGCTATTACTTCTGAATGAATTCCTGCTAAATACTTGCTTGTATGCAGAATGGAGGCAACATTAAAGCAAATTCCTGGCATTAAAACCATTAGGTACAGCGATGTTAAAGGAAACAGAAGCTTTTCAGTGCACAGAGGAGTAGATACTGTCAGAAATGAAAAGGTGATGAATACTTTATTTAAGAGACAGTCAGAATCTAAGATGCTCAGCTAAATAAGGACTCAGTAAAGCTGAGTAGTACTTACTGCCAGAGATGAGGTAAGTGCCTTTGGGGTCTGTAGTGAGACAGGTGACTGCATCTAAATGAGCCACCATTGAGTGGACAACTTTTCCTGCACAAACACACAAAGCAAATTTATTTAGATGCATTTGCATTACAGATAAAAAAAAATAAAAAATACAATTACTGCAAATAAAACCCCTTCCTGCAAATACCTGTCTTGTTGTCTAGGAAGCGGATGGTGCGGTTCTCATGTGCAGTGATGGAGACGGGCTCAGATGGGTGACTGACGACACGGTTGATCAGCTCACTGCCTGCAAAGGAAGAAAAACAATTTGGTTTTAATATAGTCTTGTTTTATCTGTCCGTCCATCCATCCATCCATCCATCCATCCATTTTCTTCAGCTTATGCAGAGTTGGGTGGCAGCAGACGGAACAGGTCATTCCAGTCTTCTCCTCGACGCTTTCCAGCTCTTCCTGGGGGATCCTGAGGCGTTCCCAGGCCAGCTGAGAGATAAAATCCCTCCAGCGGGTTCTGGGTCTGCCTGGGGGTCTCCTCCCAGGTGGACGTGTTTGGAAGACCTCCAGAGGAAGCCTCCCCGGAGGCATCCGAATCAAACGTCCATAACCACCTCATCTGCTCATCTAATTAAGTGGTTATTTTTAATTTATTTCTGAACAGATGGAAAATAAACTTCTACTAATTAATGGTTGCATCACGAACGTACCATCTTTGGTCTGTGTCTCTAGCGTAATGACGCTCTGCTCCGTGTTGAGGTCATAGAGCAGCGTCTCACCGCCGTCGAATGAAACCACCACCTGGTTGGGATCCGTGGCCACGAAGGCCACAGAGGTGGGCGTTCCGTGCTCTGGAAGAAGACGGGAGACGGTGAAGTTGCGGGGACAGACACAACACAAAGCTCAGCAGCAACTCTACGCATTGAACACGGATGTCTACCTCTCTCTTTGTTGAAGACGGACAAGCAGGGAGACGAGTTCTGAGGGTCCCAGACGCGAATGGTGCCGTCAGCTGAGCATGAGGCAAGACGATGGTGAACTGCAGAGTAGGTCAGACCCCACACGCTGTCCTCATGGCCTGCTAGTGCACTGCTCTCAATGCCAGGATCTGGATGAAGGAACACATTTCACAAAAATAAAGAAATAAATAAACTAAACACGAAGACTACAGTAAATAGAAATGTTGTTATAAACTGAGCAGGTTCGAATGACTCACCGTAGTTGTCATAGGGATCCACATTAAGGTCTGGCATCTTCCAACACCTGACGGTTCCATCCAGACCTCCACTGTAGCAGGATTCTCCATCTTCACCCATGGTCAGCGACAGAACAGCTCCACTACACAGGAAAAAAAGAGGCTTTAAACTTTGGTGGTGCATCAGATGTCAGCAGCAGGTTTGTGCATAAAACAGGAACATTACCGTTTGTATACGTCTCAAACTGAACTCACCTGTGTGCTCTAAATGTGTAGATGGGCTCAACATCCAAAGCTGCGTTCCTGTGGAAAGAGACAGTTTTAAATATGTTGCAATCACATTTGTTCATTATCAGTTAGATTAACATGTTATATGTTTGAAAAAAAAAAGAAAGAACTTGCGATGAAATGATTTTCTTCACCAGAACGTCTCTTACTTTTTAGAGTGCATGGCCTTGTTGAGGTTCCACAGCTTTAGTGTACCGTCCTCCGAGGCTGTGAGCAGCACGGCTTGGTTGGGGTGAAAGGTCAAAGCACGGATGGCGTCAAAGTGGCTGCGTAGTGTGAAGCGAGGGTTCCATGTCTTCTTAAACTCCTCCCTGTTATCCTGCATCTGACGGGGCACACATTTGTAAAAAGAGAACATCCAGATATTGAGTGCGCAGTTGTAGGTTGGACTACGTGCAGTTTATTGATCAAAAGAAAAAAATGTGTAATTACATCCATGGAGAGATCATTGTCATTGGCAACAGTGAGATCAGCCAGTTCACCCAGGTTCATGTCCCCTCCTCCGACTGCATCCATGATGAAGACATCGGATGAAAACCCGAGGGCGCCGCCTGCAGGTTGGGGGTGGAAAAGCACACGAGTTATCACTGAATCTTGACAAATATCATGGCTGTAAAAATACAGGCTGAGATAACTGTAAAATGTAGCAATAAATCTCAGATAGCTGAGCCAGAGCTTCCTTACTCCCACACTATGTACCAGAGGAAATATTTAGGTGTAGGAGCATCCTTGCAAGCTTACTCCACGCAAGTCTCAAAATTGAACCAATCTAAGACTGAATCTAAATTTAGGATTAAGTGTCTCAGTTACAATCATGCATGTGGGATAAAAAGTAGACTGAGGAAGAATATGTACAAAAAGATAGTCTATGTTTGGTTTTTTGTTTTTATGGAGCACATTTGGTGGGGAAGTCTTACCTTCCCCAGCGCGAGCCTGTCCTGATACAGAGGGGGGCGGGGTAGGTTTAGGGGGGAAGTCCGACATCATGCCTTGTAACTTGTTCCTGCGGTTTTCTGAACCCGGCAAGAGGAGAGAGACACAAAACATCCAGTCATGCAGAGAGGCGGAGGATGGACGTAGAGGTCAACAGATGGACAAATGTGAGACGAAGAATGAAAGAGGCAGAAAGACAGACGTTGTTCTTTAGATATGGCAACAAGATAGACTCACAAAGTTTTAACGATTTTTTTTTTCCCCACAGAGGATGAAATCTACAAAAGCACAGGGCTACAGTGTAAATATGATTCAAAGAATGAAATGTGAACACACAGAAAGAGGAGGCAGCATGCGTGAGAACCTTTGGAATGACCCTGGACCACAGAGAGTACACCTACAGACAAAGATGACGGCTACACGGCTCTATAGAGTCACAGACTGACAGCTCGTGAAACAGGACAGAGAGACAGGTGGTTGGGAAAAGAGGTTGGTTTTATTGACAAGAGATGCCAAGACACAATGAGAAGTAAAAGATAAAAAGGTGAGCGAGGGGGCAAAAAAGACAGATACACTGGTGGCAGTGATTCTGGAAGTGCTGGTGCTGATGGTGTTGCTAGGGCAACAGCGTACCTAACTCCCGGCCGTCCCCCGAGATCCGGGCCTCTCCCGCCCCCTCCCCATCCTCCCCTGAGCCCAGGAAGTCAAATTCACTGAGGGCATCTTCCGAGTCGTCTTCGTCCTCCTCGTCCTCCGGGTCCAGATCTGTGGTCATAGGCTCTGAACCCATCTGGACACGAGAGCAGAACAGAGAACACGGTTCACGATAAAATATAAGTCATCAGCACGGTTTATTGTTTGTGAGAATATTTTTCTAGTCATTGAGTTTCTTCCAGTCGCACCTTTACACGAGACTTTTTGCTCTTGCGGGGGCCGTCGATGCAGTCGGTGGCCATGCCTTGGAAGTCGTCTTCCTCGTCGCTGTCGTCTTCATCATCGTCCTCACAGCCATGCAGAAAAGGGATCTTATCCAGCACTGACCCACCCACGCGTTCCTTCGAGCTTTCCTTGCCCGCGTTCCTACAGGCAGACACATGATTAATAGTATAATCGCGCTATCTTAAATTGAAAGAGGCAAAAATGATATTTAGGACAATACGTTAGAGTGGGAGGCAGGATGACCTCCATTAAACTGCGTACCACCATTTATTATTAAAATCAGAGTGCATCAATTATGAGCTTGATGACTTTCCAACTCAGAGCAAACTTCAACATTTTTAAATCACGCTTCATAAGAAAACATTTCACAGATTTATTTTTAAGTTGTAAAATGCACCAATCAGCCAAAACACAAAACTGAGGGCATTAGCTTTCTGAAAGAGGCCACTGCCATCAGAGAATACTACTGCGATCAAGGGGTTTACATTGTCTGCAATGTTTAGGTGGGTGGCACCTTAATACCAGGACTCAGCGTTTCCCAGCAGAACATCGTCTCTGCCTTTTCGCATTTCTTCTCCACATAAACAACAAACACAGACCAGGCACATGTGAAAAAAAATGTGATGCATAAGGGCCATCTTGTTCCATTGTTCCACGGTCCAGTTCTGACACTCACCTCTGCCAGCATTGGTGTGTGTGAATGTGAAACACATTTTGAAGTTTTTTTTTGTTTTTTTTTTTTTTTTTAGAAAACCTAAGGTCCAAAAAGGTGCTGTGTAAGTGTGAACCATTTAGTATTTGTATCATAGCCTGCATTAAGGTTTGTGGTCGAGCAGCTTTTCTGTGGGATCGGACCACACGAGCCAACCTCCACTCCTCCTTGGGGCAACCATGATCCCGTTATCATTTCACCAGTCATCCTATTTGGACCACTTTTGGTGGCCTGCTGTGTTGGAGATTACCCAGTCATTTAGCCATCACGATCTCACCCTTGTCAAAGTCACTTGGATCGTTATGATGTCTATTTTTTCTTATTTCAACACACCAACTTCAAGAACTGTCTGTCCACTTGCTGCTTATTACATCCCACCACTTGACAGGTGCCACAGTAACAACATAATCAATTAAATGCACTTAACCTGTCAGTGATTTTGATGTTGTGGATGATTGGTGAGTTTCGAACAGACACACATATTTTCTGTGCCATGACTGGTACACAACCTTGACAGAGCTCTGGAGGACATCTTTTGTGCATCTCTTTTGTTTGGCTTGAGATTAGGATGTGTTATTGCTTCACTGACTTCACACTTCTGTTTGTACAGACAAATGCACATGGGGCGCTGTTCAGAAAGTAGTCACCTGCATAATGCCTTCCTGATAAACCCATTTCTAATTCATAGAACAGGACCGTTAATAGGAGGATACTATTCACCTTTAAATTGTTACGAAATTGTCAGATTTCCCACAAATGCTCCTGATTAAGATCATAGCAAATACCAGGTCAAACCCTGCTCTGCATTGTGTAAGAAGTCTTTGTCTGAAGATTTATGGATCAAGGTCATGCCTGTGAATCAATAATCAGATTAAGGCTTGGTGTGTAAATCAGGCCAAGCCTATAAAGGGTGGAACAAGAATAAAAGTCTATAGTGGCGACATTTCCTCACAGAATTTTCAAAACTGATACCAACTGCATTTTAATCTAATTAAGTGGGAAAATATGAGGTTACACATACAACTAGGAGGAGTGTAAAATATACACTTTTCACAAAGAATATTGAAAAAAACAAGGAAATGTTGATGTTTTTGTTCTCTCATATGGAGTGCTATGATGTTGGCCTTGTTGTACAAACTACAAATGTTCACTGTGCCATCACGTGTAACATCACCGTTCTAATCTGTGAAGTAACAGCCGAGAATAAGTGTCTGCTTCTACAGTCTCACCTTTTAATTTGTTCCTCTATTTGTCTGACCAACAGGGACTCTCCACCTGCCCGTGGCTCAGGCTCAGGACAGCTTTCGCTGGGCGGGGGGCCATTAGCCTCAGGGCTGCTCCGCCCAAGCAGGGAGCGCACACGCTTAGAGCGCATGTCCAGTATAGTGTCTGAATAACCCACTTCCTCAAGGTATCTACATTCACAGGGAAAGGACACACACACTCAATTAAGTTAACCCTTTCAGTCTAGATCATAAGTTTAATACTAATGATAAAGTTGTGATGGCATACATTAGTACGATATTGAGATAAAAGATCGAGAAAAGCCTTACTTGCGTAGTAGCTGACGTCCCTCCTTCCAGGACATCTGATTGGCTGGCTCAGAGTCTGACTCAGCCGGCCCATTGGGAACTACAGAAAATAGATTGTTCAATAGTGATGCAACAGCGTGGCATGAGCAGAAAAAGAGAAAAGCAGAAACTTTGAGCTACTCTGAATGTACAGCAGCAGTAAAAGACACAACAGTGTAGATTATATAATGCATCCAAATAACAGAGTGTGTGAGGCGCTTCGAGAAACGTACGTTGATCCGCCTCCGTCTCCGGTTTCTTGTCTCCAGGACTCTGGTCGTTTCCCGTCTTCAGCTTCTGGTGCTTTGCTCTGCAACCCCACAAAATACCACATGAGGGCAACAGCACGAGCAAATACAAGCAAATCTTTCACAAGCAAATCAGTACGCCTGGAGCATGTAAATTACTGGGAAAGGCTGAATGAATAACAGGCATAAGGAGACAGGGACAGAAAGAGGGACTTTCCTGGCATTTGCTTTACCTCTCTTGTTTTAGGGCGTACTCCAGCATTTTGATCCGCCTCACCAGGTCCTGTTTCATGTTCTCCTGGCCTTTCCTCTCACCCTGTAGGAACGCCACCTGAGCCTGGAACACACACATAAACAGGAAGGTAAAGAACACAACAAAGTACCTTCTAAAAGGCATTCACATGCCACAACCACCCACATAAGCGTTTATAAATGTCAAATACATTTAGGCTTATTTAGAATTTTCAAAAAATAAATAAACATCACATGCGTTCCCTCAATTAAGTCGAGACAGTAAAGCATTTGATATCAACAGAGATCACGAGCAGAGGCTGGGAACGTGAAGTAAAAAGTCAGATGTGACAAGCATAGCAAACATGACTTCTGAAAACCCAGAGGAATAAGTAGAGGGTTGTGGAACAGGGCTCTTATTTTTAACTTTTCCTAACCAAGGCCCTCAGTGTGCATCTGCAGAAGAGGAAAAACAAGACACAGACTGGCCAAATTCAAACACTCTCTTGTAGGACACATCCTTCCTCTATGTGCTTCCTCTCTTGTTTCTCGTCCGTTTCCTTCCTCAATGCTGATAAAATTCTTACCTTGAGGAAAGACATGTTCACCGCACGTTCATGCTATCTGTCAAACAGAGGGTTCTGTGAGAATTTAGAGGAGGGGGGAAAAAAACGTGATAATGAGAGAGCGCAGGGTGATGACAGTGTCAGGTTTTCACTATCTTTAGACAGAGCCATCCCTTGAGTAAGCCATCATAATGCAAGACTTGACAAAAATGTGAAACGGCTGTTGGAGTGGGTGAGAAAGATTTACAACGCGGGTTGCAAGCAATCTGCGCACCAGGTAATTGTTCACAGCAGGCGCTTTTTGAGCAAACTGTGATTCAACTAAGGTAGCACAGATTTTGCCCTCTACTGGTTGGAGGAAACAGAAAAAGCCCTAGTGAAAAAAAACAAAAACATAATGAGCCCAGTTAGAGTTGGGTGAAAAAGGCCTAACCCGGTTTCTTCAGGATTCGCATGCAGTTTATTGTAGGCACAATAGCTTTGCATTTTCACTCTTGCTCCCTTCCTTTCTTTCTCTCTCTCTCTGTGTGCCAAGCGGTGCTGGAGCATTAATACGGCTTGTTTTACAGTCCATTTCTCCTCTGCACGCCCCTGTCTGTGTCCACGAGTCTGCTCCCACACGCATACGCAGCTCTGTAAAACTAGAACAGTCTAAAAACGCCATCTCAGGGGGCAGACACTTGGTCTGTTTGAGAGGGTAGTCAATCTCAGAGGAAAGCGCACACATACGCACACAGACAGACACACACACACACACGCAAACACAGACAGTCATGTAACCAGCTAGGAGGGCTAGTGGAACAAGGGATAATCTGCCAAGCAAACCTTACTGCTGCTGCTTGCTGAGTAATCCTGATTAATGCAATGTGATTTTATATGCTTATCTGAGAGTTTTGGAGATAACTGTCAAAGCTAGCACGTCAACACTGCAGGCATGATCTAAGAGGTTCTGAAATACAGATAACTTCGGTTTATACTTGACCTCATCTAAGAGGAGCGGGTCAGGTTCTGCAAATTATCCCCGGTCTTTTAAATAAAGCAGTCTAAGTAATGAATTGACCGTGTTCATTTAAATGGCGAGGACGACCAGTGAAACATGAACAATCCTGCTTACCCGTGCATGAAGAGCTACATAATGCTGCATTATTTGCTGTAGTTTATAAAAGCAGCTCGCACAGGCTGCAGGAGCAGATAGTTACATGAGCATTTGTGTCTTGCAGTCGTACAATATTTGCAAATTTAACACTTGGTCCATTGTGACAAAATTAGACGTAGATATGAACCTACTAAGATATAAGCTAAGCAGAGCTCAGCTGTTGTGATAACTGGGCAGTGCCATGGTGTGGGAGGTTCAGATATCACAAAGCTGCACGTATATTATATACTGGGTGCTATAAATGGCTGAACAAAGATGGAATGCGGGTAAAGATTGAAAGAAAATCTTCATATTTAAAAGCTGACACGTGTACTTCGATCAGTATGGTAATATTTGAGCTTGACCTGGCATCCACAATGATGACATTTCAGCTGTTCTGTTACTGTGGCCTGCTATCGGTTAGGAAGATACTGACGTGGGTGAAATCTGCCGACCTCAAGAGACAGTCAGGGAGGAATCGGAGGTCTTCAGTACACAAGTAAAACAACTGTCAAGACAGAATTCTCAGTGTACTGATCTGTCAGTGTGACTGGCCGATTCAGTGGCTTTCTGACGAGTGAAAACACCAATCAATACACAGCACTGCTTGAAAACTTACAGAAAGACGACGGCCAGTGTAATTAAGTGAATACAGGATCTTGACAGTCTGAAGTGGTAACGTCACTGTGGTCCTAAACGAGTCTAATTAGGAAACTTAAACTCCACCTCTGAGCAGAATGAGTGTGGTTCATCTTTAACGGGGCAGGACGAGTGTTTCTACTCCTACTCACACACAGACGAGCTACGACCTGCCTTCACACACAGATAACATCACACCCCTGTCTAACACTTCACTCCTTGAAGGACAGGTTCCCACTGTTGCCCCAAACCTCAAATCCATGACGCTGTCCTGTTGGCCAAGTCAGACACAAGGCTGCATGTGTACACACACACACACCCTTATGTTCGCATAACAATAAACAGTAAGAATGGCCTTTTTCTGATGCACAACAGTAGCCAAAACACAAGGATTAGTGTGTCAAAGGGTTTATTGTTGTATGTCTTTTTTTATATATATATATATATTACCTAGCAGCTCATTCTTTGGCTCTGACCTTGTTCTGCTTTCTCTTCCTTTCTACAGTAAGTATTTCTCTATGAAAGCATTTCAGTATGATGTAAAAACATGCTAAATGAGCAGATGAACTACTGTCTTATGGAAAAGAGCAAATGCAGTTTGCAATGTATTAGCTTGTGGGTGAGATAAAGTCCTACGTTCCTGTGTAAAAATGTTAACAATCAAATCTAGCATTTTTTCACATGATTGTTTCAGCAGACAAAGGTGATGAATTGGGAAGATGCTCCATCTTTACCGTTTGTACATTTCATTGCTCTCTGATTTTCTCTGCTTTTCCCGCTTCAGACTGGGACATGCTTGTTTTTACTCATGTGTGGGACCTGATTCAACACACACAATACAATTCAGTTCATTCATCAGCTATTTAAAATGTTCTTATCAACAGAGTGACACTTAAAATAAGAGCAAAAGTTGTTGAGACAGTCACAGCTGTCATGGAGCAGCAGGTCGCATCTCTATTTTTATAATGAAAGTAAAATATGATTCCATCAATAAAACCAACCCATGTCAATGAGTACCAACGCCAACAGTGAGTTTTAATGGTCATTTGATATCGCCACGCAAATAATGACACTGCGGTTGTTTTCTTCATATGATGTTGGTAAACTAACAAAGCCTGAACTACAAAGGAACCTTGCTGTGAGCAAACCTGCCGTGCCATCTGATCTCTCCTTCCTGTGGGTGGGTTTTCCTCCATGCGGCCTACTGCCGCTGACCTTTCCAGAGTTTGTTGTCGCATGGAGAGCTGACACATTTAGCCTATTCTGTCAGACCTTCTCTACGAGCTGCAGAACAGGGTCAAGGGCAGCTTTCCTCCTCCACTGGCCACCCTCCATCTTTTCATCCCTTCATCCCCCATGAGAGAATCCATGATCAAACAAGTAGAGCAATGAACTTTTCTGGGACAGTGTGCTTTGATAGAGTGTGTTGGAGTGACTGTGTGTAGTACCAGAGCAAGAGAATGACTTCTCAAAAAGTTGTGCTTCCTGCCCAAGTTTCATTAGAAGATGCTTGATTGGAAAGCAAAAAAACAAAAAAACTGCATGTCATGAATGTGTCAGAACAAGAGAGGAATAAACAAACAATGAGATTTTTCTTTTCAAGATTTCATGGGGGGGAAATGAAATGCCATAATAAGGATGGAGCTGCATATAGCAAAAAGTCTAAATATCCCACACAAAACAGGAGTGCTGCAAGTTTGCGTGGGCAGGAGGCATGCACTGTCATAATGCAATACATATGGATGACATATGTGTGTCATGGCTGAGAGCGAAGAGCTATTAATTAGAGATGTGCACCCAGGGGCCCCCGGGCCCACACTCAACCGGAAATGATGTCATCTGGGTCATCATTAATCTATTCTACACAACTACTGACATGGTTAATAAAATTAAATAGCCGAAAATGAGAACAATGCAAAGAGGGACAGGTAAAGGTCGACCGTTTTCTCTGTTGAATAAGAGCCGTGACTTGGTTTGAAATCTGCAGCACAGTTTGTCTACTAAATTATGAAGAGGATCGGGCAAAAACAAGCTAATTACAACAGGCTTGTTCAGATACAGCAGAGCCAGTAGTGTGACTACACAGAATACACTGGAAAAAAGCTGCCTATGTGTCTGAAGGACAGAGCAACAAGGCCACCGCCACCTGTCTCCCGTGCTGCTGTCCCATGCTTGAGCTGGGACGTCCCACCTGGCCCGGAGCGGGAGGGCCTTCATTCCTGGCCTGTCAATGGAGACACACCATCACAGGTGGCCTTTCACAGTAACAACACGCTACAGAGACAGCAGGGTTTCACAGACACACTATGCCTCAGACAAAGACATCCACACAGTTGCAGAAAAAGTCACACACATGCACGATGACAGTGTTAATTTCCTGTAGAATATTGGTGATAGTTTTGCTGCCCCTGACATCAAAGATTTTGCATGTGGTTCCCCCCTTATAGCCTTTAAGATTAAATGCACAATATGTCATGTGGCAGCGTGTGAGCAAACTACAGTATGGACACGTACAGCATGTTGTCAACTGTGCAGGACACAGCCAGGGGCCATGCTAACTGGCATGGTGAGAGCTCCGCGAGCATGTTGGCAACTGAAGCCAGAGGCCTGTGGCCTGTGGGTGTTAAAATGTAAGCTAGGTCAATTTTTCAGCCTGGCACTCCAGCGATCCTCTCTTTCTCTCAGCACAGAACGTGGTGCTAATTGTACCCGTGAAACCAGAACATGTGCAGCAAATACGCGCATGCAAACAAAGTTTCATAACAAGCACTAATGGCATGTTGGACATGGCGAAGGCCTGCATCTGACTTCCATTCCCACTCTTGCCCATGCCTGTAAAAGCAGCGAGCACCGCCAGTTTGTTATTGTTCATCCATATTTTATCACGCTCCTATTTATAACTACATACGTTTGAGTTAGGGGGCAAAATGAGAAGCAGCATGACAGAAGAGATGCAATGATATGTGTTTTCTGTGGTTTTGTCGAGCTCGTGAACTCCAGAGGATAGTTCATCCTAATTACAAGCAAACTGCGGTTACAGGAGGAAGACCGCATACGGGTTTAGGAATGAAGTGATGAACCGTTCCAAACGCAGCGCAAAAACATGTTTGTATGTGTGTACATTTTCCTAACCTTTCTCAGTCCAAGAACAATTTGATGAGTAAGCGCAATCTTGCCCAGCAATGCTCACAGCTACATGCATGCAGGAGAGCTGAATAGTAAAACCTCTGTCTTCTGCTGTGGCCTTCTGAATAACTGGTACCAGCAGGGGACTCATGCCTTGCTCAAGGGCATTTTTATCGCACTGAGTCACGCATTCACACAGATTTTTCAAGTCATTTTATAGATTCAGATGACCTTTAAGGATGCAAGCCTACCTCTCTAACCTAGTGGAAGACATTGTATGTTTGCTTGAAAGTGCCATTTCATTTTCTATTGAAATATTTAAATGTTAAGTCCAGATTAACAAATAATACAAGCAGGCTTGGCTGTAGATCAGATGGTACTTGACAATCTGGTAATCTAAGATGGTCAGAGACGTATGAATGATACTGAAAAATACAACTTCATTGCACTCCACATCCATCTGTGTGACAGACCTCATCTCAAAATGATGATTTTGCTTTCATAGCCACCAGGTAAAGAGACATACACTTTACTACAGATCTATTATCTGTCTGTTACAAATCAAGGATTCTCATTTGAACGTGATTTACTACAAAAACCTGCCGTTTGGTGTGCATGTAGGAAACAGAGACCTCTGTTAAAAGATCATCCTGATCCCTTAATCTCACTGTGCAAATTATTTTGTGAATAAAATAGCATACACATCGAACTATTCCCTTTTTTTACAGTGGCTTTTTCTTGCCTAGAGACATTTTTTTGAATGCTCAAATAACTATTATCCTCACATGCAGGGATTTCAAAGGGAACTCACAGCTGTGTGACATTGTCATCATTTTCTAACCACAACAACACAACCACAGATCAGATCATGTGTTCTTGTGTGGGGACAAAAGTCAGATAATTGTCTCCTTACAAACTGTTTGCACACAAATGTCAAAATGCAGTTAAATAGAGTGTGGTTAAGGCACATCTTTGATGTGTACCTGCGTAAACATCAAGGAGAGACAAGGTAGCCACACCTAGATGGTTTACCTATCTGTTTTATTTGCAGGGTAACTTATTTGTTTTTTATTGTTTGACATGAACCTCTTATGATATAATTTCGTGGTGTTTGTCTTCTGTGAGTTATCTGATTGAATGGGAATTTGAAGCCCACAAGACACAGATGAGCAAATACACTGGTTCATTTCTGTTTAAATCTACTAGTGGCTGGCTTTCCTATAGTGATCATCAACTGGAGGTCATTCAGTCCTCAGATTTTAATTTACTCTCTAATAATAATGCAAAACAACATAAGAAGGTGTATTGTTAGCCCATTAGCATTGTGTCATCCTGAAACTGACTGATTCGCAGTGCATGTGTACACCCGCAAAGCAAACAAGCTCCTGCAAAATCCGTTCTGGCCTTTATTGGGCTGCAAACGCAGGCTTAAGGATAAACAAATTTACCCTGAGTTCGTCCCTCTCAGCCTCCCAGCGGTATTTCTCGGCCTGGAAACGTCCCCACTCGTACTGGATGAAGTGCAGGATCCCGGGAAGCGTCATACCCGAGTCCCCGTCCTGCGGCTCCCGAGGCTGCAACGACCCCGGGACGGCCCCGGCCGCCGCTGCCGCCGCCGCCGCCGCTGCCATCGCTCCTGTGGCCGAAGCTGATGTCGCCTGGCCCGGTGCTGCTTTGGGCCCGTTCGGGTTGCGCCCCGCTCCGCTGCTGCTGCTGCCGCCGCTGCTGCCGCCTCCGGAGTTCGGGTTTGGTCCTCCGCCGGATCTGTCCGCCTCCATTTTAACCGTTCAGCCTTTCGCCAGGATAAGGAGGTGGAAACGGGCGGAATGTACGAACAGAAATAATAAAAAGTACCGTTTTCCTACCCAGCGGCACTCCACTCTCTGCTATCCTCCTTTCTTCCCTTTCTCACACACGGAGCAGAATTACTATTCAGCTGCTACAATACTACACTTCCACTAGCAGCCCTTCAGCACAAAACACGATCCGACCACACACCCGTAACATCGTGGCCTCTCCGGGCACCAAAAAGCCACATTTAACAAAAATTCTTACATGGAAACGGAAGAGTGATATCAAAATCTGACTATTAAATGTCGTCCGCTCAAAACAAACGCGAACAAATTGTCTGCAGCTCTTATTTCGTATACGCTGGATGTGTTTTCTCCTCCTTGTGTTTGCAGTTGGAAATGCCCAGTGCGGCTGACAAATAGAGGGCCATGTTTTCTGTAATACACAATGAACGTGTCGCTAAGGGAGTTCATTTCCTGCCATTTTGTGAGCAGGGATGTTTGAAGACAGTAAAGTTAACAGAAATTACCCACAACTCTGCTTCTGGTTTTAATGTAATTTATTTAAAAAGTTATACTGTCGAGATTTTTAATGTATGGATTTTTGATTTTTGATTTTTTTTTATTTAGCTGCGTTTACAACAAACTGCAACTGTCATGCGCAATTCTACAAAAAAACTAACATTTAGGAAAATGTCCCCTAAAGGTTGTCCGAAGGTTCCTTTTTGTTGGGCTCCATAGTGCTACACCAAACTAATATGGAACATTCTCAACTTGACAAAAAAGTGGGTAACACCATAAAAAATGTGTTCTTAATAGCTTTTAATTGTAATTGTTTTTAGAAGGAATTTATTACTATTTTGCAGATTTTCCATGATTTGTGAAATTACAGATATTAACTATAGCTATTGAACAAAAATATTAATTTATGTGTTAACTATAGCCAAAATAAAGACTGTAAATCACGTCTACACCAAAATATCGATATTTGGTAACAATCCAACATTTGACCGTAAAATTACATTATTTTTCACTGTATTTAAGTCAGCAAAATATATATATATTAGACACATATTTGCAGCCATTTAAAGGAAATTATATTTTTTGTATGTTAAGGATTGAAACATGGTAATTCATTTTAGTTACTGTTATTTTACAGATTTTCCATGTTTTGTGAAATTACAGATATTAACTATAGCTATTGAAAAAAAAAATTTAATTTATGTGTTAACTATAGCAAAAAAAAGACTGTAAATCACGTCTCCACCAAAATATCTACATTTGGTAACAATTCAACATTTGACCATAAAAATACATTATTTCACTGTATAAAATATATACATTAGACACATATTTGCAGCCATTTAAAGGAAATAATAGTTTTTTTATATATATATATGTTAAGGATTGAAACATGGTAATTCATTTTAGTTACTGTTATTTTACAGACTTTCTCTGTTTTGGTAAATTACAGATAATATGAAGTAAAATCACAGAAGAAAAAATTTAAATTGTGGACAAATAAATAAAATGGGCTAAAACTGCAGTGTGTGACATGTATATGCAATGTGTGACCATAAAGTTTTCTTCTCTTTTTTTTTTTTAACTTTAGAGGATTCTACTGTTTTGAACATGTTGTTTTTTTTCTTCTAACACCCTTGCAGCCAGATTTTTATCATTTTATTGTGTTTTTAGCAGTTTAGCCAGATAAAGATGCATCTTTATTGCCAGTTAGCTTATGGGTTATTGTATTAAATGACAGTGCACACAATTTATCACAAATTTAACATTGGCAAGACTCAAGTATGGAAAATCTTTGATGCTGTTTTTTTTTGTTTATGGAGTAGCTTTGCAGCTGTGTATTTGAACCCAGTATGATTACATCTTGAAAACAAAAAACACATAATGTTAAGGCAACTGCCACTATTATTACTGTCTACTCAAGCTATCAAAATAGCTTAGAAACTTTAAGGTTTTACATAAATCAATATATTAGAATTTCTTATCTTGAAAACATGCATTTAAGTAAATGGTGTAAACAGGTCCCCAGAATTATTATTGCTTTTTAAAGTGTACTTCTTTTGCTTTATTCCCATTAGTAAAAAGAAAAGAAAGGCTGCTATCAAGCAAGAAATTACCTAAAATAAAAACAAACAAACAAACAAAAAAATGGCTAGGATTAAAATATGCAGTGGTTAATTGAAGGAGATGGGTTAGGGTTAAACGACAGTGTAGAAATAAATTTACAGTCAATAGTATTTTTGTTTGTACTTTATGTTTGGGTGAAGGGGTTTGGAGGTTTTAAGTGCTTTTATTCTGAAGGATCCTGACCAGAAGTCTTTCTGTTGCTGCGGGCAACAGCGACGACAAGCGTGTTAGCTTCATGCTAAACCCGTGTAGTTGTGTCTCTTGGTTGGGTTTGTGTTCAGCTACATACAACTGAAATACTCTAATGCTTTCTACGTTGTGTGTTTCTGCTAAAAAAACAAAAAACAAAAACAAAAACATGTTGGAGACTTGATTTCAAGCACGAAGGCACTAATACTAGCTGTCAGTGCTAATATTAAACCCCTGTGTTTGCTGCTACGTTTGCTACCAATGCAGGCTAATTGAGACCAACATGAAACCTACATACAGCCTGTACAGCAGAGTTAATTGGCTTAACGTTGCTTATGTTTTTTATAACCACTGTATGATATGATGGCTGGCCTACGACCTGCAAACGACCGCCTTGTTCAGAAAAACACAGGTGCATCCAAATGAAGGTGAGTTGTGGAAATGGATTTTACTGACTAGTAATAGAGCTAGTTATGTTTTATTTTTAAAAGGAAACCTTGCATGGAGTGAGTGCTGTCCTTGTTTAACATTTAAATTACTTGGATAGGTCACTGTTAGCTATTTCTAATATAAATAGCCTCAAATAACCTTTGTATCTTTGTTTAAAGTAGCATGAAATTGTGTTATACAGCTGATATATACATGTAAGCCTGTTGCTTCAAACATAATCTGTGCAGCTTTATTTTGTTTTTCTCTCACTGACAGCTTGTCTTCAACTCTCATTCATGTATTATTACACTAATGGGGACTCGAGACCCGCCACTGGATTTCTTGGTTGAAACTTAAACTCTTCTCCTGAGAGAAACTGGACAGCAACAGCCATGCGGATCAGTTTCTGCCAAGGCCTGCTAACCGGTGCCATCGTCCTCAACCTCCTCATTCTCTACTACGTGTCCCGGGCCCAGCAGCAGATGATGGAGAAGAGGAAGGAACTTGGCCGGGGCACGAGGAGGGCCGCCCTGCCAGCCTCCGGCCTTGGAGCAGGTCTGGGGGTTCTTGTAGGAGCTGGAGGTGACCCTGGAGTGGTCGGAGGAGAGGGACACAGTCGAGGCCCACGAGTGACCGTTCTTCTTCGGGAGTTTGAAAATTTTGAGAACTATGTTGGAGATGTGGCTAATTCCTTCCTCCATCAAAGACCTGAGCTTCCCTTCTTGGCTGTGGCCGACTTGTCCCCGTACCCTCCGCTGGTTCTTCCGGATGGGGCTCGGCTTCTAGTGCTCTCCCCGAGCCCGGATCAGCCACCGCAAGCTCACAGGCCAGAGTTTCATGTGCAGACTGAGTTTGTGCTGCTGGTGCCCGACGGAGTGGAGCTGGAGCAACCTCGGGCTATCGAGAGGTTGATCAGGGAGCTTGAAGGTGAAGGTGGGGGGCCTGTGAGGCTGGTAGCTGCACCCGTGCTGGCCCGGTCCGCTGTGCAGTGTCTCCACCTGCGGGTGAACCTCAGAGAGTGGACCGCCACGTACTCGCCGGCTGCATCTGGGAGCAGCGGGAGCGTGTGCACGGCTTTACAGGGAGATGCAATCGTCCTCATTCGCACTGAGGACCTTTTTAACCTTTCTGTCCCCCTGGGGCGACCCCTCTTCTCCTCACTCTTCATTCAGACTGCCTTGAGAGGCTGGAAGGTCAAACTGCTGGAAAACCCCTGTTTCTCCGCAAACCACCGGCCCCTCTTCAGCTCCGCTCACAACCAGTGGAAGGCTGACACTCGACTGAAGGAGGCCACAGGGAAACTCATGAGAAGCTTTGGAATGAAGCGTCTCCTGATGCCTGATGGGAAGGAACAGTGGTACGGCTGCAGCAAAGAGACGCCTCGCTGCTTTGGCACTGTGCAGGACGACACTCCAGACTACCTGTATCTGGACCGATGGACGCCTCCCTGCTGTCTGCGAGCACTCAGGGAAACCACTAAGTATGTTATCAACATCTTAGAGAGCTCAGGTGTGCGCTACTGGTTAGAGGGGGGTTCTCTGCTGGGTGCCATTCGGCATCAAGATATCATCCCATGGGATTATGATGTGGACCTGGGCATCTACCTGGAAGATGTACCCAACTGTGATCACTTAAAGAACCTGGACTCAGGCTCTCTGGTGGATGCCAACGGCTACGTCTGGGAGCGTGCGGTGGAAGGAGACTTTTACAGAGTCCAGTACAGCGAGGCCAACCACCTGCACGTTGACCTGTGGCCCTTCTACTCACGTAATGGCGTCATGACCAAAGACACGTGGACAGAGCACAAACAAGACGTTGAGTTCCCAGAACACTTCCTGCAGCCGCTGGTGCCCATGCCTTTTGCCGGCATCACCGCCTATGGACCCAACAACCACAGAGCCTTCTTGGAACTGAAGTTTGGAGAGGGGGTGATTGAGAACCCCCAGTACCCCAACCCTGCAAAAAAGAGGCTGGACAGAAGCAAATTATGAGTGATACTAGAGGCTCACAAACCCTTTTATGTTGTACTGTATTTGTTTACCTAAAAACGCAGACAACCTCGCCTCGTTTATTTAATTATTTTTTTAACAGCCTAAAAGATGTTGCGTGGAAACGGAAATGGTGCCAATATGATGTCGCAGTATAATCACGTGTGGTCGGATTTTCTTTCTAAGTTTGTTTGGATGTAAATGATAATCTGCCTTTATTTATCAGAGTGGTACGACTTTGTTTGCAAGGGGCATGAACTCTTTTTTTTTTTTATTTTCCCTCGTGTACTGACATCAGGCACAGTTTTTTTTTTTAAGTCAACAACTGGTTTTACTACAGTGTCCAATATCTGTATGTGATATAATGTATAAATACTACTGCTTTAAAGATGATGAATACTTTAAAAACAATGATGAATATGCTTTTTTTTAAAGCTACAATGTAGATTATATCAAGCAGGATTCAAGGTATTGTACAGAACGAAGTATTTTATGATTTCTTGACTGTGCTGCCTTGTTTTGTACTGTTTATGAGTGAATGTTGGTGTCTATCAATACCATTCGGTACCTAAAAACTATAATGTGAGCAAATTCTCATGTGGTGAAATGAGAAGTGCATCATCATTCATCCTAGTATGGATGAAACATCACTCTATTAGGCCTTTATTTGTCATTTAAACTAAATATGGAGCTCAATTACAGGCTTTATTATTATATGAAAACACGTGTATTGACTGAAAGATTCAATGAAAAAATTTTAAGAGATGTTACACGTTAAAAAAAAACAAAAAACATCAGCTCCTCTGATTGTCACATTATATCTGTCATGTTGTTTGTGTGTAACGTATTAGAGTGTCTGTTTCATGTACTGGTAAATTCAAATATTTGTGACGTTTTAATGTCTTTATTTATTTGTTTTGAGGACTGTTGGCAAATTTATTGTAAATAAAGGAACGTGCAGTAATGGCTACAGTCCTTCTTGAACACTAGATGGCAGAGCACACCTAAATAGTCCAACTAAGGCTGAGTTCACAAGTGCTGGCCTTATAGGAGTTCTTCAGACATATGGCGGGAGTCCAGGGGGTGGAGGGTTTTATGACAGGACACACAGGAATGTAACTTTACAGGAATGCGGCTGGCTTGTCCACACAAACCGGTCCAGTGATGTAAATGAACTTCACCATCCTGCCTTATTCACTTTTTGTCGCTCGAGGTAAATTCCCCCTCGCTTACAAATGATCGCCAGCAGGGTTCATATATGGTCTGGTAATTAGATGAAGCGTCTATAGCGCCACAAGGCTGCGTGCGGTTATTTTTGGATGTGAAAACATAAAGGATCTCTGTGCATTTTAAACACGTCAGTCCGAAGGTGACTGAAACATAGCACAGCTCCTCCTGCAGCCACAAATGTTTGTTTTTTTTATTTGCTGACTTCAGTGTGTGTAATTATCCACTGCACTAAGTAGTGTACAAACACACACACGTGTTTGAAAAAGCAGCCAAGAGACATCTTCAAACAATTAAAAAAAAAAAAGGCCTTTAATGTTTAAAACCTATCGACAGTACATTCAGATGGTAACCGGGAATTTATATTTTTGAAACATAGCCCCACTGTAATAAAATCATTACATCTACCATGTGCAAACGCTCAACACAAATGCTATGATTGTACCAGACAGCCACGTGGTGTAAGATTTCAGAAAGGAATGATAAAAATCTGTACAACCTTGCACCAAAAAAACAAAGCAGAAAGGAAGCAAAGCACATCAGCTGTTGTGAGGCAGTGCTTGTTGCTGAAGCACTTCCTGATAAGACTTGACAGAAATGATGAGACCTCAGGCCTGTAATGAATTCATCAATGTCCGCATGGCAAATACTGCAAAGCTAGTTCAGTATAAAGCTGGCAAAGGAAATTTTGTATATAACAGTAGTATATTCCCCACTCATTCCTTCTTTACAGTTTTTGGCGATATGGATGGAAACATAACAGTTAATAGTGTAACTTTGTTGCATCTGAAAATAGACAGTATCATCTTAAAGGTATGAACCAACACAAGTCATCTCATTAATGCTCCACCACACACTCTCCAAAGTCTCAAGTCTTGGCCACAGAAATATATTCATCAAATGGAAGCAACGTATATAAATATAACTTAGACTGTAACCCATGAGTTGAAAACAAGGCTGAGAAAAAGAACATGAACAGTAAAAAAAAAAAAAAGAAAATCTACCACCAACCAGTTTTTACAAAAAGACTTGAAAAGGGCAAAAAAAAGAGCCAATTTGGAGGTACTAGCATGTTTAAAAAAATGGCTAAAAATCTCTTTGGATTTTGATTAGAGAAATAAATATCAATTACAACAAATAATTATCATATATACAAAGAGGCCTAGTGGCCACGCAACTAGAATTTCATGTTAATGGCAATTTTAGTCAAAACCAAAATAAGCTGAGACGTGCCCACCTCTTGGCTTAAGTTCTCTAGGTGTTCAGACTTCAGATAGACATCATTGTAGTGGAAGGAAATCTGTTAGTTACGCACTCAACATGTAGCCGTACCATACATTTCACGACATCAACCAAACAGTCCTTATCACACGCTGTGCTTTAAAACCCACTTGTACTTTACTAAAAAGTTGGAACCTACACAGACGCAACAGCACGAGTAAAACGAGGGCTATAATAATGATTTCAAAAAATGCACACCTCCCAGAAAATACACACCGGAGTTCAATGGTCTCCTTCTTGTTTGCTGAGTCAGTGTGATTTGGTCTCAGAGTATTTAAGGAGCAGCTTGAAGAACAGTCTTCAAGCAAAAAAGTCAAACCTGAGGTTGTAACGCCTGACTGCGTCCATCTGAGGCAGAAGTCAATGTGTGTGTTTCCATGCATGTTGTCAAAATCCTTGAGATAATTCCTTCATTCACTCTTTGGACGTTATTGAGGATAATATTTCATTTGGTGTGCTTTGGAATATGGATATAATCTGCAGAGCAACTATATTGCTTTTCCTCACTATGAAAAGGCATTGAGAAACATTGGTATAGAATACCGACAAACAAAATAAAAGACTAACAAAAGCCTTTAACACTACTTAAAAAAACAAAAACACAATACAAACTAAGCATGTACATTATGTTATATATGGTCACAGCCATTTTCATGCAGGACATATGGAATCTAGCTTTATATCTGACAAATCAAATACAAGACATATAAAAACCTGCATGAAAGTGGCTATAATCACGTAAAACAAAACGCACGTATGCTACGATCCAAGTATTTTCAGAAAAGATATGACCCTCATTGGTTATTTTCCACGAGAATGTCGAAAATCTGATGAAGCTGAACACAACACCAAAAAAAAAAGTGACAGTGACGAAAACATTTTAAAGGTAACATGACTGATGGAGCATGTGAGAACTGCCAGACTGGCTGCAGCAAACTATGTGGAGGTCCTCGTCAGCTTTTAAAGTCAGAATATTTACTGTTTTCGTAGAAGGAAAACGTGATTTGCTAAGTGCAGGTCAGTGATATTAATGTGATGTAGGAAAGCTTCAGCAATAAACCAATGGATTCCCGTAACTGCCATTTCTCCATTTAAAATCAATACAACATTAATGCATACTTGTGTTTATAACATAGCTGCTACATATTGCAGAAGGTCATTGGTCCAGTTTTTTTTTTTTTTGGTTGTACACATTGGTCACATGACAAACCAAGAAGTGACTAAAAAACGCCAGAGATGTACAACACGATAAAATTCTGACTTCAAAGGTGATGAGGCCCAACCCAACGCATCACTAGACTTGAGTGAACATAGCAGCCAGTCTAATGTACAATACTGTCCCTCAAAACGAAAATAAAAGTCACTGTGCACGACATGGACTTTAAAAATCCCACTTTTTTTTTTTTTTTTTTTTAGCTTTCCTTTTAGACAAGTTTTGATGTATGAGAGCTTTTATTAGCATTTCAGTGTGCATGTCTCCTTGCACTCTTTTCTTCAGGGGGGCTTGAACTTCAGGTTTCAGCTTGCAGGAGTGTCAAATAAGAGCGAGAGAGAGAGAGAGAGAGAGAGAGGAGGGGGGGACTCTTGATAATGTCACTGGATTACATAACAGATTCTTTTTCACTGGAAGCCCTTCCGCCGCGTTTGTCGATGAGCGGCGAATGCTCGGGTGCGGGGGCTAAAGAATCGTCGCCCAGCCGGACCTCGCTCAGCTCATTTCCGTCTCCTTGTTTGGACGTGCGGTCCACGTAGTGCTGCAAGAGCCCGGCGCCGAAAGCGTCGCCCTCCACGTTCAACACGGTGCAGGTGCGGTCGCTAAAAGGAAGACAGGACGGAGACAGTTTAATGATAGGATATTTAACAAACTGTTTCAGATTCAACTGTAGTACCTTCAGATGTAAACGTCTACCGCATTGGCAGAGGTTCCCTTATTGTCGGAAAAGATTTCATTTTATTTTATTTTTTGTATGAAATGTATGAAATGGTCTGCACTTCAATAGCGTCCTTCTACCTTAGTGGTACTCGAAGCGCTTTACAATGTTTCTTAACAGAGCTGCCATTGGGGGGAACTTCGGTTGCCCAAGGTGCAGGGGTTGGGATCGAACCGCCACCCTTGCGATTACAGGACAACCCACTCTACCCCCATATTAGCACATCAGAACATAATTATGCTAAGCTTTTAAAAACTCACATTGTACATTACAGTCTCTAGACTTCCCAGACACCAATATGACGTGTCAGAAAAGATGAATAACTCATCCCCAGATGAACACATATCTAGTTCCTTTAGTTTACGCCCAAAGATACAGTACTCCTGTCCATTTTTGTATTTTTTCGAGACACCTCAGCCATCATCTTTAAATGCAAACTAGCTACCAGCTTACTGCTAAATTCTAACACCCCTCAACCTAGTCAATCCCGTTTCATGGATGCCTCAACTCTACTCTACCAGTTTAGACCCTTTTTAAGCCTCAGCGGTGCCTCACTGTTTCTTTCTGAAGCAAGCGTTTTGACACATAAATGGCGATTACACAAGCAGATAAAAGGTATTAGATGTTGACAAACTGTGTGGGTGTCAAAGAGCGGAGCAAGTTTCGATTGCATACAGGATTATAAATGGCAATTTGCTCTTAAGCTTCGCATTAACATAAAACAGGAAAGGCTGTATACTCACACAAGCCAGTCAACGGCCAGGATAAGAGAGATGTCGGTGGTGGGAAGTCCTATCGCTTCCAGGATAATAGCTAGTGTCAGCACACCACCAGCTGGGATACCTGCTGCTCCAACACTGGATGCCGTCGCCGTCACACTAACACAAACAGCAGGGGCGATTTCAGTTAGACACAGGGAAAAGAAAATATATATAAACATGCAACCAGTAAATAAGAGGTGGTGCTACAGTCAGATTTAGTATTCAACATAGTTGCGTAACTGTGGATGCGTTTCAATTGTTTACAGACTCACAGGATGGTAATGACTTGGATGAAGTTCAGGGGAGTGTTGTTCAGCTGAGCGATGAAAACTGCAGCCACGCACTGGAAGAGAGCAGCTCCGTCCATGTTGACCGTAGCTCCGATGGGCAGGATGAAACGGCTGATGTGCTTGGATACGCCGTTATTTTCCTCCACGCACTTCATCATGAGGGGCAGAGTGGCAGAGCTGAGAAACAAGAAACGGGGAGTTCGTAAAAGCAGGAGGTGCATGAGGCGCGTGTGTTTGTGGAGAGAGCAGTATGTATGCTCGCGTATGTTTTAGAACAGGAGCCCCTCAGTATTTGATATTTAACAACCAGAGAGAGCAAACAAGTGTGTGTGAGTGAGAGAGAGAGTCAGAGCAGTGAGTAGCGGTCAGTTCATTACCTGGAGCTTGTTCCAAAGGCTGTAGCCAGAGCTGTGAATATGCCCCAGAGGAAGGTGTAGGGGTTCTTCCGCGTAAAGATGAAGTAGATGGCCGGCAGCACCAGAGCACCATGGATGGCGTGTCCAATGATGCAGCAGGCTATGTATTTCCCCAGACTGGCAAACAGTTTACCGACGTCTTCCATCTCCACGATCTTACTGGCAACAAGGAACATGATACCAAGAGGGGCATACCTGCAGATAAGGAGGAGAAAGTGAAATAAGAGGAATGCATTGTAGATAAAGGTCCTGCAGCAGAGCAGGACGGAAAATTATCTCTGATCAAAAATACTTCAAAGAACAATTTGACACATTGATGAATGCACTTATTGTGTTTTTGCCCAGAGGTAGATGAGAAGATAAAAGCCACGCTCATATCGCTTAATTAAATACGCTGCTACAGCCAGCAATCATTTAGCTTAGCACAGAGTCTGTGGGTGCTTTTAATTATGCTAACATCCCTCCTCGCTAGTCTTTCTTGACTCCTCCCAGCCAAGTTGTGAGAAGTGCAAGGAGGAGACGTGAGGACAGAGGAGCCCGAAGCTGCCAAGAAATCTTTCATTCCAAAGCGCCGGTCTTAAGCAGCTTCAGTTACATGTCACGCCCATTGATTAAAGACTTCCACGTAGGATGCACCTGTGTTTCCTCTCTCTAAGCTCTTTCCAAAGCCTTCTCATCTTCACGAGGTGCCATTTAAGCAATTGGAAATTCTCCATGCTAACAGAAGGAGAGCGATTTCCGGGTTTACAGGAGAAAGAGGAACACAGTAAAGCTAGCATAATGAGAAGTACTCCGATTCTCTATTTTCCAGACTTCCCATGAAGCTACGCTAAACAGCTACCTGCCATACTTTAAATTGCTATCAATTATTTTTACACTCCCCTCAACGAAAAAAAATGCAGCTTCTCTTACCACATGATCCAGGAGACCAGCACCATGGTGGCTTCATTGAAGGAGTTGAAGAACTTGATCAGGATCTCTCCTTCCTCACCCAGCTTCCTTAAAGCCACGCCAAACACGATGGCAAACACTACCAGACCAAGAATGTTCATGCCATCCTGGTCTATTCCAAAGGGCACCTGGCAACCGAACATGGAAAACACACAGTCAGGACACACATATGCTCACCAGTTCAGGAACACGGGCAGACATTAGTAGTGCCTTGAGTTATGTGGTGTGTTTTATGTAAACAACATTCGCTTTGCTCACCTTCTCCACCGTGATATTGAGGTTGCCATCTGTGCCATTAACCTTAACCAGCTTGTAGGAGGTTGCATACTGGAGGAGAGGGAACAGTTTACTAGTTTAGTTACGCTAATCGGCTCATAATCAGCTTATGTCTTTATTATTGTTACATCATTTCAGATCATGACTCTGGAGAGATATTAAATTGAGATCCAATACTCACTGACTGGAAGGCAGCAGACACCAGGTTGGAGGGAAAGATGTTTCTGTGGACAGAAAAAGAAAACACAAGACTTTACATCCCTGTGCTCAGTGTGAACAAGATTACTTGGGAAGATCTAATGAAAAAAAAACATGTTGCTATATTCAGGAGGAGAGAAATCCAATGTTTGGGAACACAGCACAAATATTTGGGCCTCGCTCAGTTCCAACAAAAGCTTAAACAACTCTGACTGCTTATATGAACGTACAAGCAGAGCGATGTCACATTTGCTACAGTGCAAACACACTGTAAAACCATACACGGGACTTTTTTTTTTGGATCGTTTCTGATGAGGACTGGACTTGTTGCATATCACACAGGAGAGTCTAACTTCTAAACAAAAAATACAAGTTGCGTCCATGTTACAAGACAGTGGTGTTGCGGAGACAGCAGCTCCATCTTCAAACAGAAAGAATCACAGGGTTGATCATGTGGAAATAGCTTAGAGAATTTACCTATTAATCTCCTTTTTTCTGCCCATATGACTGAATGTTGTTATTTATTCTGAGCCAACAAGTATGCACACACACACACACACACACATCAGTATGTAGGTCCAACTGCCTATTAAATCTCCCAAGAACGCATGAAACCTGTGTGTCCCCCTGCAGTCAGCTGTCTGTAATAGATTTAGAGTAATAAGGTATTAACTTCACAAGCTCTTTCCAGCCATTCATTCCTTTTCATTGGACCCATAGTGCATCAGGATTAAACATCATGTGACTGCGCAACAAGGCGGCGTGCAACTGGAACACAGGCCGGTTGTGCTGCAAGGAGCCAAGACAAAACGCTGTCAATCTTTCAAGCTACTACTTGACTCTTATTTGATTATTCAAATGCTTGTTGTGTGTTTTGAATTTACATAATTTTAGAAGCATGTACAAAGACTCCCAAACTAGGTTGGAGTCACATTTTAGGATCATTCTGGATGTGTGGAAAAGGTGACACATCATTCACAATGCATTGTGTGTTTACGCCTCCTCCGACTTTGCATAGAGTAAATAATACAGAACCGAACAGATCCACTTCCTCATTCTTTGCGGGGACTGCCCTTGAGCAGGTGCAAAACTAAATTGTAATGAAAAAAGTGAACACTGAGTTTCTGGTGAAACTTCCACCGGTGCTACTATTTTGAGACGAATGTGTAACTAGGTTTTATAAATAAACGTGGCTGTTGTACAAATAATTACACGACGACAGTATGACGACAACTGGTGTCCCAGAGTGTCGTCGCATGCCATTAGATGGGCGCGTCTCTTTTATGCAGAGCTGCTGTTGATTGTTTGAGGTCAAGTATTCTGACGTCTTCTCAGTGTCTTGTTACGCCTCCCAGAAAATAATGAGTCAACACCTAATGCAGGTCAACGAGGAAAAGCAAATGTTTGTTTTCATATCCAACCAAGTGATCCTAGGTGTTTGATAGGACAGGTGGATAGACAAAATTAGGTCACAAATCCTAATTTAAAAGATGGTTTTCATACTTGCCGTTACAATCTATATGAACATCCCATAGTGAGCTTAAAACCACAGGATGTTAAAATACACAAATAAATCATTACAATACAGCCTTCCAAGCCACCTAATGACAAGAAGTTTTTCTGAGAAAGAAAAATCTGCATCTAATATCACCACTTTTTTTATAACTTAAGGTAAATATCGGTCAATAAATCCCAAATCTACTGTATCACTAACTGATAGCCACCACCATATGGTTCAGTGTGGGAAAACGCACAAAAGACAAGAAGTGTCAACAAGGATGCAGAGGTGTGGCTTCGGGCAGAGTCACGGTCGTCACATGCATCCCCGGCAGTGTCAGCGCGGGCAACGACAGCTCAGCGTTAAACGGAGCGTGTGTCTGCGAACAATCACCAGGCCAGTTTCACGCTTTGACGAGCAGCTCTTCAGTAGGTTCCGCCCAGCAAGTTCCACGCTGCCTTTGTTGTCAAAACTGAGCAGGACACCGACTGAGAGGGCACGCTCTAATGAGGAGAGGCAGCTTTTGTCGGCTGTCCTGTGAAGATAAATGTGCAAAAGTGTGTGTGTGTGTGTGTGTGTGTGTGTGTGCACGTGCAGTGGTGGCATGTGTCCAGCACAAAATAAACATTACACTCCCTTTTTTTAAAAGAACACTGGGAAGGTGCTGTATTCAAGAAGATCAGCTGCATTGATTAAAGGGATATAAAAAATGGTTATTAAATGAAAAGTACATCCAGCAAGTTTCTAAATAAACTGGACAAATCTGCTGCAACTTGCAGATTTGGTCGTGTAAAGCTCCGGCACATATCGGGATAGCAATGTTAATCTGCGAGTGGATACGTTTTGCCCTGTTGCTCTTGCATGTCAAATCTGCCCCCCTGGACACAATGACTGTTTTTAGGAGGTGTTGCCAGGGTTAGGTCACATTGCAGGGGGAAGGAGGAGGAGTAGGAGGAGGAGGAGGGTGGAAAATCCTGGCCTCCATAGCACACAATTCCATAATTCATGGACTTAGTGTTCCCAAAAAGTCAAACCACCCAGAAAGAATTGTGCAACAGTTGCAACTGCCATCAGGACTGCATATGAACAGACTGTTGGACATTAATGTGAAACATGAGGGCAATTTATGCTGCGTTTCTAATTTCTTGTCTATTTTTGGAGACAAACAAGCTGTAATATGGACAGATATTAACAGCAAACTCAAAGGCTCCTTGTTTACACGAAATACAGTCTTGCTTGTAATCTGTGTAGATGCGAACATGCCTGTATCTCTTATTCCAAGGCCGTGATGTTGCACCAGAGCTTTTAGCAATGTCAAACATTTCATATCACTAATCGACTGAATTGCTGTTGGCTCAGATAAGCAGCGTTTCCCCCCTGTGCTTGTTTGCTTTTTGGCGGCTAAAAACAGAGCAGGTATGAGAGAAAAAACATGCATGTCAAGGAAACTGTGGTGTGACGAGTTTCCGAAAATGACCTGCACTGTTATTTGTTTAAAGATGTTGACATCCTACTAAATCTGTCTGTTACTCAGCTGCTTCCTTTTACTCCACAGTCGATGAGCTTGCACATGTCTCAGAAATGCCCCATGAATGTGACACACTGATAATAATAAAAAAGAACATGGGGCTGCTGATAGGGAAAGCTTAGAGAAGATTTCAAGTGCAAACAAGATGAACAAGTTCAAGCCAGCTTCTTCCATCAGGCTGGATCACATTTCTGTTGATGAATTGCTATTAAGCTTAGGTTTAACAAAAGCAGAAACCCAGTTTAAATCAGTATGTGGTAAAGGGAGTCTGTGAGAGTAAAACCAGAAGAGCAGGATGGCTGTATTCTTTTTGATTTACAAAGAAAGGGGGCTGTCCTAGCAGGAGACTCTCACCATTCACTCAGCTCGAGTAGAAAATGTCTCACACGTGTCGTTTTGCTCCACGTGTCGAGATGGTACAGACGAAATGTGAAATACGAGTAAATCAGACAGGGAATGTGTTCTCTCAGGAATGAGCGGTGTAAAAAGTACACAGTGTGAACAGTGACAAGCGGCACTCAGCGCCGCCGGTTAACCCTCGATGTGAGCGCACAGCTGAGCTGATGCAACTGCGTGTTGTCATTACAGCACTATTAAGCCATACGACCGATTTGGCTGCTGTCCCAGGATGTAGTTACACGTGAAGACTTTTCGAGTTTTAAATCGTTAAATTGAGTGGACATTCCGAGGAACTTAGCTCCACGTTTAAACACCTTGGAGCTGTGGAGATGTTGGCATTCATACACCATTACGCATCACATTTCCACTACTTTTAAAGAGTTTACGGCCTCAGCAGGTGAGGTTTTACTCACCTTATGAGGTCTAAAAAGGAGTCTATGACTTCTTTATGAGCAGGCACGTCGTCGTCCAGGCTCGCAGGCTTGCTGACGGCCACGGAGCCCGGCGTCAGGATGAAAGCCATCACGACCCCGATGGACGACGCGATCAAGGTGGTGACCAGGAAGAAGAGCATGGCCCAGCCGCCCAGCTTCCCCAGCGCTTTGGGGTCGATGCTGGCCGCCCCGGACACCAGGCTGCACACGACCAGGGGGATGATGATCATCTTCAGCAGCCGGATGAGCAGTTCACCAGGGAAGCCGATGTAAATGATCTGGGTCCTCGTCAGGGTCGCGTTGCGCACGCCAAGTCCGATAAAAACCCCGACGATGACCCCGGCCACGGTGAGAATCACCAGCAGGTTGGCCCTCATGATCCGCAGCACCCGCTGGGACAGAGGCTCCGGGTTGCTCTTGTTGGGACCGTTCATCCCGTTGGCCAGCGGCTCGTCGAGGTGCGCCTCGCCGTTGGATGCCTTCCCTCCTTCCATGTCTATCTTCTCAGCCATTGCGCGCGTTTAAAGTTGCCCTAAAACTTATTTAAATGGCACACAAACTGATGTAATCGAGGCGGGAGTATCTTCTAGTTCACCAAGAAAGAACTACCAGCGTGTTTCTTAGCAGTGTAGCACGCCTGTCCTGCTGTTTCCGACTTATCTACCGGGAATCCAACCCCCACCCACAGGCAGCGTGACGCAGCGCTGGGCGTGTCTAAGCAGGGACGCTCTCAGGCTGCCAATCAATTGGCCCATCACGTTCATTAAAACACAACACTACCTTTTATCTAGTTGGCATTTATGATCTATTTTTAGGCTGCATACTTTTCAAAATGCTAGATTTATCCACGAGATTATCTGCTGATGTTTACAACTCTCATTTACAGTCTAACAAAATAGACACGACAAAGAAAAAGAGTTTGGCAAAGATCTCCGGGCTATGTGAATAACACTACAAATAGAGTTTGTTGGACTTTATGATTAAAATTAGACTGGAGGCCAAGTCCATGTTGTGTTTTATGAGGGCCTTAAGGGATTCTTTGGGATGAATTCTGGATGAATGATAATGAAAAACGTTGTGCTCTGGGTGGGGGAACTTTTTGGAGCAGATTTTATTTGTAAAGTTTGTGTAAAGAATAAAAGTCACAACACAAGCGAGGCTGTAGATGTCAGTAGGGTTGTCATGTTAAGACAAACTATATGCATATACACATCCATACAGTCCGTACAGGAAGCAATGGATGTTTTGTTTCATGTTCACTGACTTGAAACCAGTGACAACTGTTGCATCAGGCAGTGAAAGAAACAAACGTAACACAGTTTCCTCGAGCACAGAAGTGAAAGTTATGAAGCTGTGTGACAATTTATAAAAGCTTCAAACAGCCTGTAAAAATCTACGTGTAAAAACAATGGGTTTAATTTCAAGTCAGCAGATCGAATATTTTAAATTCCGTCTATTAAAGGTATGCTATAATCAACATAATGCAGTTCTGCTGGACAATCCGCCAGCACTAATCTCTTCTCAGACTACTCCCTGTTATTAGAGTGGCAGCAGAACAGAGCTGGAAGCTTTGCCTATACAGCTGTGGAGTCTGCCACTGCACTTTGATGAGACCTCCCTCCTCCGTGAGTTTATTTGCTCTCCTTCCAAGCACCAAATCAACAGTGAATATAATTTTTGTTGTCGTTCTGACATGAAAGGGTAACGTGCATGAAACGAGAGGCGCAGCAATAACATTAATCTGACATCTGGTGCACTTGAATGACAAAGAGGAGCTGGGCGTCTTTTGGATGACTTCAACTGTGCCCTTCCTTCCCCAATCGAGAGAACGATCGGGAAGCATGACAATGTGTCACATCTTTTTTTGAACGTTTTTTTCCCGGATGGCAACAAGTAAGAATGAAAGTGATGAGTAAAGATGAAAGTTAAAGATGGAAACAGCCTAATAAGGGTTTTAAATTTCCAAGAGATGTTGGTATCCTGGCTACTATCCTGCAATCTTTGGCAAGGTGTGTGTCTAACTGTAACAAGAGACAGACTCTCATTGTGTTGGGATACAGAGGGCTACAGTCTGATAGTTTGAAATTTGTGTGTAGGGGTCCAAGGCATGCTGAGGTTACCTTACACTCAAACAACAATCCAAGTTCTTTTTAAAAATGGGTCCCACTGGTGGAAATTTGTGGGAAAAGCACCTTTAACACCAAACAATGCCCACAGGACCAGAACTCAGGCCGGTAGGAAGCTTTCCTCTCAGGGCCCATTTTGTTATCTCAAGCTTGGTCTTTGTTCCCTCTGACTGTGCGAGTGATTGGAGGAATCGCTGTGATTCTGTGAAATAGTGCATTGCTCTGTGAGAAAGGACGACTTCAATGCCTAAACCCGCAGGCACATGAGAGCTCAGAGAGTTTTTCTAGAGCAGGCCCCATCTATAAAAACACACACTGCACACAGTCAGTGCACATGCTGTGGAGATGAGTTTTTGCCGGTTATTTAATACTTCAAAATGTGACTGGTTGACTTCTAAATGTAGAGCTTTTACAACAAGAGCAGCAGTTAGTGATAATGTGCGCCTACGGCAGGATGTGGGACTTTTTACACGATTTATAGCTACTGTGAGGATTTCATGTCTATTTCACTGTATGCGTGAACGACGGATATGTGGAAACAATAACAGAAACACGTGTATCGATGATAAAACACTTGGTCAAGTTTTTTTAAGGATTGCAGTTTGTTATGTTGATATACTGAATCATATATCGCTGGTAATGTTTTAATATAATTCCTGAGTGGGCAAAATACTGAAAAAAAACTATAATAGTACTTTAAAACATGTATTGGTTGCTCGGTCAGTTCACCACTTTGGTTGTGAGTGAAACATCTTAACCATCTGAACCCCAAACATCTGCTCTGTATTTTTGCTCCTGTCACATATTTAATTACAGTTTTTTCCCCACAATACAAAGTCGTGCACCTCTATGGAAACAGCACAAGAATGGCTAGAAGTAAAAAATAACCCATAAATGTCTCCTGTGTAATATGATACAGGTCTAATACCATAAAACAGTTGAGCTACTGATATTTCACTCATTATATTTTTCATTTTCTTCCACACTCATCTCCTATCTTCTGCGTAAGCACAGCCTTCAGTTCAACCAAGTACAGCTGAAAACTCCTTCATTTTTGCTGAGTCACTAATGGCGTCACAGCATCTTTTTTTTATTTTTTACATAATCTGGTTAACGCAAGTGGTTTATTTTTGGCTCAGTTTTAAGTGACACATATATAATTAAGCCACTTTTATGAAAAATACAGATTTAAGCGCCGATTTAATGGCATTTCACAGAAAATTCATTTCAGGAACATCAGCAAAATTGAAAATCAGATGATGCTTTATATTTTTGTTGTTTCTGCATCCAATAAATGCTATCACATTGGCAATTTTTTGATGATGAATGAATTTTTGTACAGACGGTTACGGTACCCCAAAAAGGAATCCTACTGACTCTGGTTCCTCGACAACATAAGGCTCACAGTTTTTTGCTTTTCAAATGTCTCAATGATTGGAGGAAATATCATGTCTAAATCAGGTCTAAAATTAAAAGTGTCCCTAAATGAGGTTTATGACTAAACACCTGCAAAACTAACACTAACTAGCATTCCCTTTAACCTCATCTGCATTGTGTGTTTAGTGTTAATTAGCAAATGTTAGTTGCTGACACGTTAAACTAAAGTGGGGAACATGGGAAACATTATACATGTTAAATTGCAAATATGCGCTTTTATCATTAGCAAAACACCTTTGTACAGCCTCCAAGAGCTGCTGGAGGCTCTTTTCTGCAGATTTAGTTTACGCTTGATCTACAATGAAAGATTTTAAACCTGTCCGGTGAGGCTTGATGATGTACCCAAAAAAAGCGAGGAGCACGAGCAGGACAGTCGAAAGGTTCATAAAGTCACCTGTGAATGGGGATGTGGAAAAACAACATGCCGGACAACAAAACGTGGTGGTCTCAGGTATCGTGAAAACAACAGGTGAGGGACAGGGAGACTGACAATAAAGAAATTAGAAAGGTGGAGACGGAAAGGAAACTTAATACTACATCTGAATGTACCAACGCAGAAACGCCTTCGCTTTTATTTTGATTCTGCTGTTGACATGCAGAAGGCTCAACATGCAGTACAAAAGGACTTTCACTGACTCCAAGTTGCTTTTTTTTTTGCAGCTGGAAGTGCATACAAATCCTTCGATAAGGCAGAAGATAAAATCCTGAGAATGTCTGTTGCTAAACTACAGAGGAAAGTGCTGAGTCATGATGAGAGGACATGGCTGGATGTTAATCTAAAATGAATGTTGGGAAGAGGAAGGCAAAGACTTTGAAACCGTCTCTTTTCATTGAGACTCTTGGGGGCAAATTCCATGAATCGCATATTTCAAGATATTCTTCAGGGCTTAGGAATGATGCAAATGCAAACAATGGTACAGAAAAAAATCGAGGGATGGTGGGAAACAAGGGAGAGAGAAGTGCAAGAGGGTCAAGAGCCAGATGAAAGGAAGGCTGTTTCATAATCAGCATGGGTACAATCCAGTGAAAGACTTTACTTGGCTAGAACTCAATGTAAATAAAGAAACTTTTTTAGATGCGTGAGGTGCTGCTGTTCATTCATGTTTTAGAGGGCTATTTCAACTTTTGTCGGACATCATTTTAAGCCACTATGACGCAAGAGATAGCAGTTTGGTCTTGATATCTCCACAGATTTTAGCTGACTCACAATGACATTATTTTTGCAGTCTCCTGAGGAAAAACCCCAACAGAACGGTCACATTTGTGGTTTTGAGTGAAATATCTGCACAGCTACCACATGCACTTACAGGAAATTCGCTTGGACATTCATATTACAGTGAGGACAATGCTTCTAACAGGATAAACAAAACAGCTTAACATAATGTCAGCTTTGTTGTTGCACGCCTGATTGCATGCCAAAGTACAGCTTTGTAAATCCGCAAGCATGACTGCAAACTGTATGACTGCAAACTCTTTCAGGCATTTTCTGTGAAAAGCACAATGCACGCTAATGAATATCATTCATTTGCGCCTTTTAATTTCTTGTATTTCCCACAGCATATCTAGATTCACCACCACTATTATCTCTGCAGGCCAGGAGTGACGGGCAGGCCCCTAAAGCCCGTCTGATCTCTCAGAGCTTTATGTGACCAGGAGGGGCCTCCCGAACTTATTTACGGATTTACACTGTGTAATCAGACTCACATGCCCAGCCTACCTCTGTGTCTGTTACAGCCTGCCTTGGGTTGTTAAACTGACTTCTATTTGAATGTAAATTATTGTCTCACCTATGTAACAATAGCATGCTGCTGAGCTTTTTAGTCATAATGGCAACATCCATCCATCCATCCATTACAGGCCAGGTCATGTTTGCAAATGAGAACTGGTTCTCAAACATTTTTACCTGGTAAAATAAAGGTAAAATAAATAAATAAAATAAAATTATCTATACATCGCTTAATCCTCACTAGGGTCGCGGGGGGGCTGGAGTCTATCCCAGCTGACTTAGGGTGAAGGCAGGGGACACCCTGGACAGGTCACCAGTCTATCACAGGGCTACACTTAGAGA